TCACATATCGTCAAATTAATTGGTCGCAGGTTATTTCATGGTCACAGACCAAAAATTTTGTAGGTCACATATTATTTTGAGGTCACATATCATTCAAATTACAAGTCACAATTTATTTATTGATCACATATTATCAAATTAATTAGTCACTGATAATTTCGAGGTCACATATTTTCAAATTTATTGGTTACAGATTATTTGTGAGTCACATATTGTCAAATTTTTAGGTAACAGTTAAATCATTGGTCGCAGATAACCAAATACTTGGTCACATACAACCAGTCACAGTTAAAGTTGTCACATCCATGCCGCCTCCACCGCCACAACCATCCACCAACAATAACACCAACCACCAACAAAACCTTCCCCACCAGATCCAACAAAAAAAAAATCTCAAACCCGCCACCACCTTCATCCTCATCACTACCACCAGTTTTATCACCATCCCCGTCGCCGCCAACAACACAGAAATCCCAAACAACAGGATATTCTATACAAATCAGAAGCCTCACTGCCTGAACAATTACAGATTTACCGGTAACATTTAAGACACAAAACATTACCTAAAACACTGCAATTGACAATCTGAAATGTACACTAAAAATAGTCTCAGATCTGAAAATAAACTATACAAACCAATAGGCTGAATTGCAACTCAACACTCGAATGAACAAAAAAACTCTCAAAGAGATCTCTAAATCGCTTTCACCGATAGCCAGAGATAGAACCAGAGAATTAGAGACTAAAAGTGATGATTGAGGAGCTAGGGAAATCCTTTTTTACCAATTAGTTTCAGCCTTAGATTTAATCTAAGGGTCAAGAAGAGTCCCAAACAAACACAGATCGAGAGGCACACAGATTGACCGGCGATTTGCACGCCCAAGGTGATTTCTCCTTCTGATTGGAGGTCGATGATGTAGCTCAAAAGGAGGGCCTGTTGCGAGAAGAATGGTGGAGTGAAAGAGGAAGATGAGGGGGTGTGTGTGGTTTGGCCGAAAGGCAGCGTCACCTCAACGAAGTGAGCCGTCGCGCCATTCACAAGAGGAGAGGAGAGGAGGGGAGGGGAGGGGAGGAGAGGAGAGGAAGATGGGAGGTGAGAGTTGAAATTATGGTTATTAATTGGGGTTTTAATATATATTACCTGATTTTTGAATAAATAAATTTTGGAACTGATTTTTAAAAAGTCATCTTTAAATACCGGATTTTTTGTAATTTCCCTATATAATAAAGATGTTCCTAAATATAACAATTCAAATATTAATTAATCTACCACACAACTTTAATCCCAACCCCTCGTTATCTCTCTTCCCCATCTCTCTCGACACCTTCACAAAGCTGCACACAACCACCATCGGAGGGGAGTGCCAAAGACAACGCAGTCGGTGTGACCACACACAACCAACGACATTCTAGTTCTGGTGATGGCGTTCTGCTGATGGTGGTTATTGTGTTGATGGTGTTTGGGTGGAAGTGGCTTTGTTAGATTTGGCGGTGGCAGTGATTTTGTTGGATCTTGTTGGTGGCGATGGTTTTGTTGGAGGTTGTGATGATGAGTTGGTGGTGGTTTTATCCCTACAAATGAAAACATGATGGTTTTCAAGAAAAATCCGGGTCTTCTCCTAATTTTAATCCCTCATATTCTTATTGGGAGCACATTATATCATGTATGCATGTCTCGCCATCTATTTTTGGAGAAATTTATGAAGAGGGCTTAATTTGGATATATGCAAAATTATTCTAGAGAATTGGGATATGGTTATTTGTTATCAGGGTTGTTGATGTAGATTGAATCTATAAACACACTAACAAACGGGGTTGCTCCTTAAGAAAACAAACGTATTTCTTATTTCATGAACGACCAAAAAACCTATAAGACGTTTTAGAGTCTGAAATACTAAGGGTGTGTTTGATAGNGGGGTTGCTCCTTAAGAAAACAAACATTTTTCTTATTTCATGAACGACCAAAAAACCTATAAGACGTTTTAGAGTCTGAAATACTAAGGGTGTGTTTGATAGGGTGAAATATGAATGGAAAAGGAAAAGATTTTCCATTTTCAGCCAATTATTTGTGTTTGAAAGGCAATCTTTTGCCAGGCAAATGAGGGAATGATTTTCCCCTCACGCGCCCATTTCTAGGCGTGAGGGGAAATGATTTTCCCA